CTATCTATCTATCGCAATATATTCGTATCTATCTATCTATCTATCTATCTATCTATCTATCTATCATTTGGTGACATTATTCGACACATTTTGACACAGAATTTTCTTCTTGTGTTAAAGGTGCCATTGATTCTTTTGTACCTTTTATATAAATATCAGGGGAAACCACACTCTTCTTCATAGTTTACACCTCCCTGTTCAGTCGCTTTAGCCCATAGGAATCGTTTTTTCCCGCTGTACCAGCGTGACAATTCCGATCACAACAGATCCCTATTTGTATGTTTCTTTATTATTGTAAACGTATCCCGAAAGACGCCAATTCTTTGATCGCTGACGGAATTTGGCACCGTATAGCGTCAAACAAGTTTGGTTCACATGAACCACTTTTTCTCGCTGTACCAGCGTGATAGTTCCGTTCACAACAGATGCCTCGTTTCAATTTATAATAATTGTATAACGTGTCCGGAAAGAGGCTAAGTTTTTTTTTTATTTTCTGATAGAATGATACACCGCATAGCCTTTAACAAGTTTGGCTTTCGATTTACTAGCGTTACTGTAATAGTGTGTTAAATAAGAATACGTCATATTTTCCTCTTCATGCAATTTAACGTGTTAACATTTTCTGTTGATAAAGCACAGTGTTTTGCTCGTAAATTCTCTTAAAATTCTACTTATTATCCGGAGTAATTTTTCCTGACTTTGCACTGAATCTCTCTTGAGTGATATGCATATAACTCCGTCAATGTGGACTTGATTGTATCCCTTCAATAGTGTTGTGGCCTCTTTAGGGGCCAGAAAGAAAAACACGGAAGACGAAGGTCGGCTGAAAAAAGTATATTGAAGATATATACAAAACAACAGTGTTAGTAATAAGTAGATTAGTACTGCGTTTACAGCTCAGCGCTCAGCTCTCTCGCAATTTGTATTTATGAGAGAAGGAAGAGTTCATTATACTGTAAGAGGGTTTACCACAACAAATAGTCCTTATGAAATGTGCTCCTGAACTGTCTCCTGTTCTCAGTAAAAAAAATAATAAATAAATTGCAGCTTGTTACTTTACTATTTTTAGAAATCCCCTTTTGTAGTTCCAGTCTTTAAGAACTCAGGTGATCTATCTGATCCTTCTAACTAACATCCTATAAGCCTTCTAGCTCTTTTTTGGCAATGTACTTAAGCATGAATTGATTAAGCATCTCACACCACAGGGTCTTCATTCAGATGATCGATATGGCTTTCGATTTTCTAGGCTACCTGCTGATGTTTTATTATTATTATTGCTGAAAGTGTCTGTCAAGCTTTACATAATAATAGTGAAGCTTGGGTTGTTGCTTTTGATATCTGAAAGGCATTTGACAGGGTTTGGCATACTGGCCTTCTTCGAAAAAGAAATGATTCAGTCTTTTCTTATCAAAAAGCTAAATGAACGTTACAACAGCTACTAAGGCACTTGATATAGGCCTCAGTATTTAGTCTGGGGATTTGTGGGAAGATGAATGGAAGCATTACCTCGACATCAAATGATATTGACTGGATATATCATTCAACTCTTATCGAATCCTCTGCACTGTCCTCAGATTGATACTCAAACACTTTGAAATGTTCGTGTTGGAACTTCCGGTACGAATGCTAAGCAGTATACATGCCGTTTCCAAATTTTTGGCAGAGTTAATTATGTCATGGTGCTTTTTTTTCTCTCAGACGGTGCCCAGCTGACCCTACTATACTCTGCAGTCGATAATATCAAAAACAAAGTATATGGCTACGTCCACCGCAAGGAAAGTTGGCTCCCTGTGCCGCTCCAAGAAATTTTTCTCCCTGGAATCGATCCTTCAGATCTACAAATCAACCATTCGCCCTTGCATGGAGTATTGCTGACATATATGGTCTGGTGCCCCTTCTGTTTACCTCGGAGATCTTGATAGGCTCCAGAGGCGGATATGCAATATAATTGGCCCTGTTCTGGCATCTCGTCTGTAGTCACTCTCTCACAGACGCGCCGTCGCCTCTCTCTGTCTGTTTTACAAATACTTTCATGACATTTGCTCCGAGAAGCTGCATTCGCTGGTTCCCAGACTCCATGAGTTCAAGCTCCCTACGAGGCTGGCATCCCGATCTCACCCTTTCACTGTCGAAACTACTAAATGTAGCCGTCTCTTTTACTCCAATAGCTTCATATCTCGCACCTCTCGCCTGTGGAACTCCCTTCCCTATTCCAGTTTCCCTGAGAGCTATAATCTCCAACTATTCAAATGTAATGTCAATCGACATCTCCAGATGCCTTGATCTATCCACTACCCTTCTCATCATCCTTTCCTCTATCACTCCTATCTGATCTTGCTCCAAATCTTCTGTAATCCCTTTTCGTCCTCGTGGCTTCCCACCTTGCTTGGGGTGAAATCTTAAAAAAATAATGTCAGAAATTTAAAAAAAAAATAATATGGCGACAATGTACCCATCGAACTCTGTTTGAAATATATATGGAATATATAAATATATATGAGGCAATGCCGAAGTTCGGATTCACATATGATGACAATTTAACAAGAACATTTTTCTAAATATCGCTCTAAGCCAGGCAATTAAAATATGTATCAAGCTCAGCTTAGTTTGGAACAAGGCCTCAATATTAGAACGACTAATTATCAACTCGTGAGGAAGGATGGTCTATATGAGAGACAAGGTTAGTAAGCATTGATTTCCTGCAGAAAGCTAATCCGGTAACTGATATATATATATTTCTTTTTCCGGCTTGATTTCAAAGTAATCGAAACCAGGTGTTAGTTATAATGTAACAAGGATACACATTTTTTATGGCTATATAAAAACTGATATATTTTATGGTGGATATAAAGTATTTGCTTGAATAAGTAGACGATGGGTATACGTGATCGTAATCGGATTGATGGGTCTACTATTGCTTATTAATTTTTTTTAAAGTTGTTGAACAGGATACAGTTGAAGGACCAATGATAATGAATTGAAAAACGCATTGTATTTGACCAGTGGAAAAGGAGAATAGAAAAAGAAAAAAGAAAGAAAGCTAAAGAAACAAAAAGAAGCTGTTTGATAAAAAGGACGAGTTGTTGCGAAATATATATGTGACTCGTTTTGCAGATGGTTAGGGTCTCATAAAAAAACAAGCTGCTTTAGTTGATGACGACAGCTGGACCGATTAGGGATATTTTTTTAACATATTTAAACTGGATCAAACTAAAAGACATAAATCATTAACTTGATTTAGTTTTCCTCTAATATTCTTATCTGTTGGCTCTCTCTATCTCTCTCTCTCTCTCTCTCTGTATATATATATATATATATATATATATATATATATATATATATATATATATATATATATATATGTATATATCTATCTATCTATCTATCTAAAAATTAGATAACTAATCATACTAAGTCTTTTCATATCTGCCTAATTCTTTTCATATCTATCTATCTATACATCTATCTATTACAGGCACTTCAAATCTATCTATCGCATTGTTTATATCTGTATGTTTTATCAATCTACCTATCTATTTATAAAAATGCACATTTCATTGAATACGACAGACAAGGTGTTTTTATTTAGTTTTTTATACAATTTCTCATGCGATCTAATTTTTTTTCTTTCTTTTCGGATGATAAATTATATAAAAACTGCCAGAATGTTCTTTTTATCCGAGCGCTTTCGGCTATACATTTAGCCATTTTTAAGGATTAAATATTTCAACTGTTAAATAAGAAATAGTTTGTTGTATGTATGTTTTATAAAATGTTTTCATTTTTCAAAACACGGTCAATATATTGTATCAATGTTCAAAGTTAATATTATTAAGTGTTGTTTTTTTATTTTTTTATTAATAAGGCTTCCATTATTATTTTTGCAGTAAATGATCATTAAATTAAAGGAATCCAACCTAAATACACGAAAATATATATATATATATATATATATATATATATATATATATATATATATATATATATTAAATCTCTTCATATATATATATATATATATATATTATATATATATATATATATTTATATATATATATATATATATATATATATATTAAATACACTAAAGATATCTATCTATCTATCTATTAAAAGGCAATTCAAATCTATTTTTATCTATATATATATTATTTTTATTTCTATCAATTTATCTATCTCTCTATCTCTGTTTATATCTATCTATCTATCTATCTATCTATCTATCTTTTTTATTTATCTATGTTTATATATATCTATCTATCTATCTATCTATCTATCTATCTATCTATCTATCTATCTGATGTTTTATTCAATTGTTCAGCATTGATTAGTCTATTCACCTGACAAGCTCCCAAGTTTTTCCTGTCTCTCCG